TGAAGGTTCTGAGCTAGCCCTGAAGGTTCTAGCTAGCCTTGAAGGTTCTCAGGGCTCAGAGTGCTGAGACAGGGCTCTAGGTTGTAAGGTTTGACCCCATGAGTTCCTCAGGCTCCAGCGAGTGGTGTTGGGGTTTTAGGATGGGCTTTACATTGTGGAAATTAATCCCAGAGGTGAATAGCCTATGCTGGTTTCCTAGAGTGGCCAGTGGTCTTGTGGGTTCTGAGGGCTCAGAGACCTCTAGATGAATGGAGTCATAGCCTCTTGACCTAAGATTCCACGGTGGAGCCCTACACTGGGCTCTTAGACGTGGAAGCCTAGGAGTGGGAGGGTTTGGAGGGCCGATCTGCGAATGTTACTGGTTTCTGTTGGTCTAGTGCTGATCACCTGGTCCCTGATGTGGGATCAGAGGCAACCATAGAACACCCCCAAAGACTCAAGGAGAGCTGGAACATGCCAGCTGGGCACTCCCACCCTTCACGCAGCTTCTCTGAGTGTCTTGGGGTACCCGAGCTCAGACAGTCTCCACAGTGCCTGGGGACTTGTCCTTCTAAGTGCCGTATCTCTGAGGGCTTCACGAGGGCAGAGGAAGGGGGAGCAGGAGGTCAGACAGCTTACCAAATGCTCAGGACCGTGGGTGTTGGGGTGGTGGGGATGGTCGTCCCCTCCAATCCTATCCATCTTGTCACTAGGCTGAGATCGTGAAGCGGCTCAGTGCAATCTGTGCCCAGATGGTCCCGTTCCTCACACAGGAGGTGAGTGAGCCTGTGCAGAGGGTGGGGAAGGGACAGGGTGGGTGTCCCTGGCCCTGGAGAAATGAAGGCCACACGACTGGCGGTGTGGACCAGGGAATTCTGCTCTTCATGTTTCTGCATGCGTGTGCATGGGGAGGCTGGAGGTCGACCTTGGTGTCCTTCCCAAGGCGCCATTCATCTTCACGTGCTTTTATTACAATTTTATATATTTATTTAATTTTATATGTCTGGGCATCATGTGTATGCAGTACCCGCAGAGTCCCCTGGAGATGAAGTCATAGAAGGTTGTGAACGGTCAGTGGGTGCTGGGCACCGAACCCTGCTCCTCTGCAGGAGCAGCTTGTGTTGTTAGCTACTGGGCCAACCCGATATTTATTTTGGGGAGGGGATTCATGGGCCATGGCACACATGTGGAAGTCAGAGGCCAGCTTGCAGGAGTGGGTCCTCTCTTTACACCTTGGGGTTTTCAAGATTGAACTAAGGTCGTAGGGCTTGACCCCAGTCATCTTCATGTGATGAACCATCCCCCCACCCAACAGACACAGACTCTGACTGGCCTGGAAATCTGCTGAGTAGAGGTTGCTGTTGACTCAGTGAGCCGCAGGGTCTTCTTGTCCCCTCACTGTGCTGGAATTACAGGCACGCACTACATGCCTGGATTTTCACGGGGGTTCTTGGAGAATTGAACTCAGGCCCTCATGGTTGCTTGACAAGCGCTTTACTGACCGAGCCATTTTCCTAACCCTAGCTCTCTGCTCTGAATGGTTAGCTAGGGCGAGCCATTTTCCTAACCCTAGCTCTCTGCTCTGAATGGTTAGCTAGGGGTGCACCTGTACCTCCCTGCTCACAGACCTGCACTGTGTGACCTTTGGCAGGGTACGCGCCTCTCTGTGCCTACCTCCTGAGGAAGGATGCTAAAAAGAAATCCCACATTAGCTCAGAATTGAGTATAATAAAGGGTTATTTATTTAGGGGTGGACTCACAGATCACAGTCCTCTGCACGAACGGGAAACAGGAGCCAGAAGAGAGAGGTTGACATCGGCATTTATAGGATAAGAGGCCACACCCAAGTTACTCGGGGCGGGTAACTTAAAGGCTGCTGGCTGAAGGAGTTCCTACAGCAGCCTCCTGCTTAGGGTATCCTGAGGGTTAGGTGAGCAACTATGGGGCTAATCCTTACAGAACGATGCTTGGTGAGATGAACCACACACAGGATACACCGCAGGTTCCCACTCCCGAGTTAGTAGATCCAGGGCCAGGGAGTGGGGTGGTGGGTGAGTGGGGTCTGGGGAGAGACCTGGGACACCACTTCAAAGTGGGGAGTTGGCAAGTTCTGGAGACGAATGGCGGGAAGGCCGCACAGTAACAAGAATGAGCTTTGTGCCGCTGAGCCGTGCTTGGAGTGGTTCAGAGTAGTGAATTTTGTTAGGTGTTTTTAGTACAGTGATGCTGAAAACAGAGTCAGGGCTGACAGGGGACCTGTGTAAACAGCTCCTGGAGTTACCAGAAAGCTCTGTGGCCTGTGTGAGCGATTCCTCGGCCCCGCTGACCACAGGGCCTTGGTCTGGAGATGTTCCTTCAGAGACATGAGAATGGGGATCACTTCGGTGTAGGCACCCCGGGTGCCCCATGCAGCATCCCCGCTTTCCTCTGTGGGAGCTGCTGCCCCTTTCCTGAGGGCGAGCAAAGATCTCCTCACACAAGTACGGCCGGGGACCTGGGTTCCACCCCGTGTCCGTGTGGGCTCGCCAGCCATGAGTGCTCAAATTTAGTGAATTCCTCCATATTTAATGTTGCAGTGCTGGGGAGGAACATGCTGGGTGGGTCTGCTGCTGAAATTCAGGACCAGCCCAAGCTGCCAACTCTGGGGTGGGTGCTTGGCAACAGGTGTTGTGTGCATGGGTACTAGTTCTCTGTCATCAGGGTACTGGTCCAGTCGGCCCGGCCCAACTCTGATCAGCTAAGGTGCATTCCTGGTTTTGTTTTGTTTTGTTTTGTATCACAAAGGAAGGAAGCCAGGATGATTCCCGCCATCTCAGCACTTAGGAGGTCGAGGCTGGAGGATTGCTGGGAGTTTGAGACCTGACTAAATTGGTTATGAGACTGAAAATAGCCAGAGAAGGGGCCAGGAAGGTAGCTCAGCAAGTAGAGAGCTCGCCACACAAGCATGAAAACTGAGTTCAAATCCCCAACACCAGGCATGGCAGCCAGTGCCAGGTATGGAGGGGACCCTGGGCTGTGAGACCTGGGATCTAAACAAGATGGAAGACAGCCAATACCCACCTCTTCCCCTCATGTGCAGAGAGACAGAGACAAAGAGACACAGGCTGAGACATACACAGACAGACAGAGAGACAAAGATAGAGGCATAGAGAGACAGACAGAGACAGAGAAAGCCTGGGCCAAGGCCCAAGGCAGCCCGCTCAGCGTCCCCTCCACCCGCAGCATCAGCAGCAGGTTCTCCAGGCTGTGGACCGAGCCAAGCAGGTGACCGTGGGGGAACTGAACAGCCTCCTGGGGGTGAGTCACCCAAGCCCACCACCTCAGGGACACCCCCTCACTCCCCCTCCGCACACCCCAGTCCCCACTCCCTGCCCCCTCTGGCCATCCTCTCCCCCTTCAGCAGCAGAATCAGCTCCAGCCGCTGTCTCACGCCACCCCTGCACCTCTCACCCCACGCCCAGCTGGCTTGGTGGGCACTGGGGCTTCGGGGCTGCTGGCCCTGTCTGGGGCGCTGGCTGCGCAGGCCCAGCTGGCAGCTGCAGCCAAGGAAGAACGCGTGGGTGTGGACGCCGAGGGGTCCAGAGGTGAGTGGGGGTGGCCCTGGCTGATACTGGCAGGGACTGTGAGGGGGAGGGTAACGGATAGTAGGGGTTTCAGCCATGGGGTTCAAGTCTTGTCCTGGGCATCCCCTGGAAGGGTTCTGAGTTAGGAAGGAACTGTTCCATGCACCACCGGGTCCAGTACCTAATTCTGTGTGTTTTCTCTCGGCTTCCGTCCAGTGGACAGAGCTGCAAGCAGGGTGAGTTCACTTGGGCTGGCAGTGGTGGCTGTGGCGAGTATGGGGTGTTAGGGCGGCGGGAACCCAGGGTCTCACTGTATAGTTCCAGCTGACCTCGAGCTCACAGAGATACTCCTGCCTCTGACTCTTGGTTTCTGGAGATAGAATTGTACACCACCAAGCCTGCTCTGGTTTGTTTAATTTGAGGCATGGTTTTGCCCACACTGCTCTGAACTCATGACAATTCTGCCTCAGTCTCTCAAGTTCTGCTACAATGGGTGTGCCTCAGAAAAACGGGCTGGGGTCCTCATGCAGATGCACTCCTTGCTTGGCACAGGCTTTGTGGGAAGGTTCACATCCCCCATTCTCAAGGGGTTAGCTGTGAGTGGTGGGTTATAAGTCACACTGTAATGTGTTTTCATGGGACTCAGTTTCCCCATCTGTACAGAACCAAAGAATTTAGCACTGATGCTGAAGTAGGGTAGAGTCCACACCTAGAATCCCCCAGTGAGGGGCACTCTGTCAGTACTGGCTGGACAAGAATGTAGTCTGAGAACCACCTCAAGCCCGCCCTTTACCTCTTCCTGTTTCCCTGCAGAGTGCTTCCCCTTCGCCCCCTGAGAGTCTGGTGGAAGAGGAGAATTCTAGCAGCCGAGGTGGCAATGGGAAGCAGCAGAGAACAGAAGATAAGGATCTTTCGGGGCCTTATGTGAGTTCTAGAGAGAGATGCAGAAACTGGTGTGAAAAGAGATGGACCCAGACTTGCCCCTGAGCAGAGCCTTGGGAACTGTGTCCAGGATGCTCACTCTACAGCCTTCTGTAGCTTCCCATTGCTTGCGGAGCACCTGCCAATCAAAAGACACTGTTCTTTGTAGGCTTCACTGCTAAGTGTAGCCAATGAGACAAGCAGCCATTTTGATATAGTTCCACTGTGAGCTGAACTGCCAGTATTGCTCAGAGGTAGAGCACCTGCTGAGAATCCTCCAGTGGGGGAATGGGGGCGTGGTTTAGGAACAGAGGGCTTCTAGGAGACCCTAGGCATCACCCTCAGCAGCTCAGGGACTAGTGAGCTTGGGAGGGAAGCCAGAGACAGTGGTTCTGTAGAATTCGGTTCAGATTGCACCCTTGGCTCCTCCCTGTGTATCCAAATGTGATCTGTCCTGCTCTCTGGGTCAGGAAAGGCTTTTTTAGGATCTGGGAATGAAGTTGGAGCTTGGTGTCCCTCCAGAGGGAGCCGGAGAGGTTATAGCGCAGAGGTACCGAGGTCGAAGGGGTCTCCCTGGACGAGCATGCCGTGGTCAAGGCTCCCTGAAGGCAGTGAGACTATGTGTAGGGGAGGTGGTGGGTCAGAGGTGTGGTGTGGAGGCAGGGGCATGACGGGCTGTGTGTCCCTGTTGTGTCCCCCCCCCCCGCCCCCAGGAAAGTGATGAAGAGAAGAGTGACTATAACTTGGTGGTGGATGAGGTGAGATGTTGGGGCTGGGCAAGAAAGGGGGATGGGAAGGAGGGCGAGAGTTCCCTTCTGTCTCAGGCGAGGTCAGACAGGGGACACGTGGGCAGACGGTTTGCGGGACTCGGACGCCTGCTACAGCGCAGGTGGGGACCCTGAAGCCCACAGTGGAGGTGGGCCACTCATTTCCTTGATTTCAGCCTCCCCAGAAGTGAGGCCCAGCCCGTATCTCCCGTGGACGGTGGGGGTACATGGCCGCTGTGGGCGTCTTTTCCTGTTTACCCATTCCCCTCTCAATGTCACCGTCTCGAATTCAGGACCAACCCTCAGAGCCACCCAGCCCTGCAACCACCCCCTGTGGAAAGACGCCCGTCTGCATCCCTGCCCGCAGGGACCTCGCGGACAGCCCAGCCTCCTTGGCCTCCAGTTTGGGCTCACCAGTCCCCAGAAGCAAAGACCTAGCCCTGGTATGGAAGGGGGTGTGCGTGAAACTCCTTTTTGTCATCCCAGGGTGGCCTGGAAACAGACAGAGTGCACCGAGCAGATCAGACAGGCTAGGGCAGTCTAGACTTTCTCATTTGTTTTTTGTTTGCTTTCTTTATTTTTTTGTTTGGTTTTGATGGTTGGGTTTTTTTTTTTGTTGTTGTTGTTTGTTTTGTTTTGTTTTGTTTCTGAGACAATATTTCTTGGCTGCCAACTCTCCATATAGTCTAGGATGGCATTGAACTCATGATCCTCCTGCCTCTACCTCTTTAGTACTGGAGGGACAGATGACTCAACACATCTGACCTTTTTACTTGATTCTTTGGGTTCCTCATTTTTCTCCCCACAGAAGACTCTGCTGAGTCTCAGGAAACATTTTAAAAGCAACTTGGTGACGAGACTGGGCAAAAAAATAGGACCTAGTTGGGTCACTCACTTTCTGCAATGGTGGGACACCCCCCCCACCCCCAGGGCACTGGGTCCTGGCAGAGGCCTCCCCTCCCCCACCCCAGATGTCCCCGAAAGTCCGGTGTCCCTCCTGGGTTTTGCCCAGACCCTCTGCCCTCCACTTCACCTAGGGTAAGAGATGATCTGTTTCTAGGCCCCCTGAAGGTTGCCATGGCAACCAGCAGTCATCGTGGGCTCTAGGGTTATCTAATGCCCTCCCCACCTAGGGAGACCTTGGCAGTACAGGGCGGTTCTAGCTGGAGACACCCCCAAGGGTGTCCCACAGCCCGCCTGGTCACCAAGGTCACCAGAGAATCCAGAGTCCAAAGTCATTTTCCTCTATAGGATGTCAGCTCACGGCTAGGCTCCCCTACCCGAATCCTGTCTGGCAAAATATGCCTATAGAAAGCAGAGGCCTGGATGGTGGCCCCTTCCTCAGATCTCCCCCTCAGGACACCAGGGACAGAGGCGGGTGATGTGGGTCCTGGGGCTGAGGACCTCTGGAGCCAAAGGGACTGGCGCACTAGCAGCCTGTCAGTTTCTTTGTTTATTGAGACACGATCTCACTATGTACCCCAGGCTGGCCTGGGGTCCCCGCCTCTGCTCTGGAGCGCCGGGATTACAGGTGTGCGGCCTGGGGTCCCCCGCCTCTGCTCTGGAGCGCCGGGATTACAGGTGTGCGTCATCGCACACTGCTCAGCCTCTAAATTAGAACCTTCTTTTTTTTCTTTTTTGGTTTTTCAAGCCAGGGTTTCTCTGTGTAGCCCTGGCTGCCCTGGAACTCACTCTGTAGACCAGGCTGCCCTTGAACTCACAGAGATCTGCCTGCCTCTCTCTTCCAAGTGCTGGGGTTAATGGCATGCACCACCACTGCCCAGTGAACATTAAAAGAAAAAGCCATGTCTGTGTGTGTGCCATATTGCACACATGGAGGTCAGAGGTCAACTCTGGGGAGTCAGTTCTTTCCTATCATATGGGTGTTAGGGGTCGAACACAGATTGTCAGGCTTGGCCACAATCATCTTTACCTGCTGAGACATCTTGCCAGCTCAGTGACCCCCGACTTTGGCTCTGTCTCTGAATGGCACATTGCTGTCCCAAAGAGTTCCCACCTCCTTTGCATGCACTCTCTTCTGTGGACCCAGTTTATCCCCACACTTAGGTTTGCACCATGGACCTAAGTCTACCCAGCTTTCAGCTGTGTGCCCACCGAGTGCCTGAGAGACCCACATGCTCCCCTCCATCGGCCCCAGAGTGGCCCTTGCAGTGACTAGTGCCCCTTTGTTCTCCACAGAATGATCTCCCCACAGGCACTCCTGCCTGTAGATCATGTGGTCCCTCTCCACCCCAGGACGCGTCCACCCCAGGACCCAGTTCTGCCGGTCACCTCTGTCAGTTGGTGGCTCAACCAGCACCATCCACAGACAGCATTGGTAAGTCCCCTCCTGCCTGGCGTACTTTTGATCCAGAGGGACTCCCCAAAGTAGAAAGGATGAGAGAGTTGGCAGTGGTGGCGCACGCCTTTAATCTCAACACTCAGGAGGCAGAGGCATGTGGATCTCTGTGAGTTCGAGGTCAGCCTGATCTGCATAGTAAGACCCTGTCTGAAAAAGAAAAAGTGAAGGAAGGGTGAGAGAGATGGATTGGACCTCAGACCCCAGATTCATACCAGCCAGGTGCTGCCTCACCCTGGGCCTCGGTCTTCTTGTTTTGGCTACTTCTCAGTCTAGGAAACTGCCCAGGGAAACAAAGTGACCCCCAGCTTAATGATTGTGAGAGAAGCCTGGGCCTTCAGCAGCTGCGTGGCCTCGGGCTGGTTGCGTGACCTTTCTGAGCCTCGCGTCCTCCTGTTATCAAGTCTGGATGTTTGGAGGATGCAGGAGTTCGTCAGCTGAAAGACAGGAAAAATGGGATTTGGGTGTCTGAATGTGTATCCTGGCCCTTCTCACTCAGCCCTGAGGAGTCCCCTGACCCTGTCCAGCCCCTTCACCTCGTCCTTCAGCCTGGGCTCCCACAGCACCCTCAACGGGGACCTCTCCATGCCCAGCTCCTACGTCAGCCTCCACCTGTCCCCCCAGGTCAGCAGCTCTGTCGTGTACGGACGCTCACCCCTGGTGAGTCCTCGGGTTACAGACCGGTAGGATGGTCAGCAGATCTGGGGAGGTCTTTGGGGGGGCGCAGAGGGATAAACCTACTTCATCCAAAGAACCAGAAGTAGTAAAGAAGAGAGAGTAACACTGGGAGTCAGGAAGCTCTGGGCACCATTCCCAGGATGACTTAAATTGGACGGGAGGTGCCTGTCTGTCACCCTAGCCCTGGGGAGCAGGAAGATAAGGAGTTTGAGGCTACCACATGAGTCTCTGTCTCAAAAATGAACGGTGGTAGGGGGTGTGGTGGCGCACGCCTTTAATTCCAGTACTGGGGAGGCACAGGCAGGTAGATCTCTGAGTTTGAGGCCAGCCTGGTCTACAAAGTGAGTTCCAGGCAGCCAGGACTACACAGAGAAACCCTGTCTTGAAAAAAGCAAAACTAAAAACAAAACAAAACAAACAAACAAAAAAACAACAAAGAAAAAAAGAAAAGAAAAACAGAAAAAGAGAAAAAAATTAAAAAGAAAAGAATAAAAGAAATAAAGGAGAGACTGGATGGAGGCTTGGTCCAGTATGTGAGTGTGGAAAGATGATCAGAACCTTACCCATGTTAGCACGAGCCCTGTGGGCAAAACCAAAAGGAATGCGGCTGGGTTAAAAAGCCTGGCCCAGGAGGTTATTTTAAAAGTAGAGTAGCAAGCTTGCAAGTCTTTCTGCTTCCTTGGGGAGGGACTGAGGGACAGACAGGCATGGGATGGGACCCGGGTGAGGGGTGTTGTACACCCTGCCTTGGGTCACATCTCTGGCCTCTGGCAGATGGCATTTGAGTCACACCCACATCTCCGAGGCTCGTCCATCTCCTTGCCTGGCATCCCTGGGGCAAAGCCGTGAGTAGCATGTGGGCTGTGCTGTCACCAGGGTGTGTGTGAGGCATGGGTCCCCATCTTCCTGGGAACACCTGTGCTGGGGCGGGGTGGGGCGGGGCGGGGTGGGGCGCCCACCCGCATCTGCGGCCTCTGCAGGGCCTACTCCTTCCACGTGTCTGCGGATGGCCAGATGCAGCCGGTGCCCTTTCCATCGGATGCGCTGGTGGGCACGGGCATCCCTCGCCACGCGCGGCAGCTACACACACTGGCCCACGGTGAGGTGGTGTGTGCCGTCACGATCAGCGGCTCCACACAGCACGTGTACACGGGTGGCAAAGGTTGCGTGAAGGTGTGGGACGTGGGCCAGCCGGGCAGCAAGACACCAGTGGCTCAGCTGGATTGCCTGGTGAGGGCGGGGCTTGCGGAGCTGGGCGGGGCTTGCAGGACTAGGCGGGGCCTGTAGGGACGGGCGTGGCCTGTAGGGTAGGTCTGTGGCCCCAACCCGGCTCTGGCTTGCTTCTCACTGCGGCAGAACCGCGATAACTACATCCGCTCCTGCAAGCTGCTGCCAGACGGGCAGAGCCTGATAGTGGGCGGCGAAGCCAGCACCCTGTCCATCTGGGACCTGGCAGCACCCACACCACGAATTAAGGCGGAACTGACCTCTTCCGCCCCGGCCTGCTATGCACTGGCTGTCAGCCCCGACGCCAAAGTCTGCTTCTCCTGCTGCAGCGATGGCAACATCGTGGTCTGGGACCTGCAGAACCAGGCCATGGTCAGGTGTGTAGGGCGGCCTGGGGTAGGGTGGGGGAGTCACAGGTGGATGTGGATGTGGATGCCTGCCCTCCACCCACAGGCAATTCCAGGGCCATACGGACGGGGCCAGCTGCATAGACATATCGGACTATGGGACCCGGCTGTGGACTGGGGGCCTGGATAATACAGTGCGCTGTTGGGACCTGCGGGAGGGCCGCCAGCTTCAGCAGCATGACTTCAGTTCCCAGGTGCACCTGCCATCCTGGCCTCCCCCAGGGTGCCCTTCCCAGGCCCAGGACAGGATAGGGCTCTGTGGGTAAAGCCTAGTTAGTATGAGGACTTGAGTTCAAATCCCTATAATGCACATAAAAAGCCAGGTACCTGCCTGTAACCTGGGGCACGTGGAGACAGGGATCCCCGGGACTGGCTGGAGGGTTAGATTAATTGAATAGATGAGCTCCCAGTTCAGTGAGGGACCCTGCCTCAAATAAAAGGTGTGCTGGTACATGTCTTTAATCCCAGCACTAGGAGACAAAGCAGCAGGTGGATCTCTGAGTTCAGCCTGGTCTACAGAGTGAATTCCAGGACGGCCAAAGCTGCATAGTGAGACCATGTCTCAAAAACCCAAAATACCAAGGCAAAGACTGACCCAGAATCTCACAGTTCCAAGTGCTTGAGCCTCAGATTAGCGCTAAAATGTGACGCTCATCACCGGCTACTTTTTTGTCCTCATGGGAGACGTGGGGCACCTAGGTCTCAGTGCTGTCTCTTGCCCTAGATTTTCTCGCTGGGCCACTGTCCTAACCAGGACTGGCTGGCCGTGGGGATGGAGAGCAGCCACGTGGAGGTCCTACACGTGCGCAAACCTGAGAAGTACCAGTTACGCCTGCATGAGAGCTGCGTGTTGTCGCTCAAGTTCGCTTCCTGCGGTACAGCCTGGGAGACCCCACGGGGCCATAGAGGGAGCGTGAGCCACCCCAAAACGGCTCAAGTTAGAAAGACGATTTACCCAGGCCTGTCCACCCAGCCACTTATTGAGGTCAAATGCCCAGACACACACACATCACAAAAGGATGGACCAGATGAGGTGGCGCACGCCTTTAATCCCAGCACTCGGGAGGCAGAGGCAGGCGGATCTCTCTGTGAGCCTGGGCTACAGAGCGAGTTCCAGGAGAGTCTGGGTAGCCAGCGTTGGGGGTTTGATACTGTAGAGTGGCAGGGTGGGGCGGGCTGAGATTCAAAGCCTCCAGCACAGAGCGAGCCCCTTCACTGAGAGGTCCCTCTCTCTCTTTTCCTTCCCCAGGACGCTGGTTTGTTAGTACAGGCAAGGACAACTTGCTCAATGCCTGGAGGACACCCTATGGGGCCAGCATTTTCCAGGTACCCACCCTCCCCAGCCCGGGCTGCCTCTACACTCTTGTGCCGTGGATATTACCTTTAAAGGAGCCCCATGCTGAGCAGCATGTCCCCGGGCCCAGTCTGTGGCAAGTGTCAGAGTCGTGCTCGGCTTCATGACTGAGCGATATTTCTGGAGTGTGCTGGAGCTTTTCACCCCTGCCCCCCGCAGCAGTGCAGCCTACACGTCCCTCCCAAATGTTGCCATTTCATTACTTCATTAGATGAAGTGAGATTTGGAAAAGGGCCTCATGGCCTTGCTCGGTCACCCGAGGGTGGGATGGACCCAGGGCTCGTGTGTGCGGGTAAGCACTCTCCCCAGTCAGCCCCAGGCTCCAACTGCAGCTTCTACTAAGTCTCTGGAAGCTCTTTTGGATGTGGCATAGCTGTCTTCCTCCCCAGCCACCTCCAATCTTTAGTATTGTTCCCCTGAGTTAGTGCTGTTGGGACCCCTTCTTATCAATCCTTCACATGTCAGGGATACCACTGTACCCCGTGTACCCAGCACGTGGGTGGGACAGGGGCATGGCTGGTTTGAGGCCAGCCAAGTGTGTAGAGTGAGACTAGGAGGAAGGGCAGGTGATGGGGTGGCTGCAAATGTGTGATTCCGTGTCCCTGAGCTATCTGAAGGCAAGCCTTGAGTCGGGTACCACATCTCTAAGTCACAGGCCAGGCTTGCCCCCAGCTAGAAGGCGCTGGCCACACCCACACCCATCAGCCTTACTGTCCCCCAAGCACCAGGCTTCCTGCTTGTGCACTTTCTGGTGGTCAGGCTGGCTTTCGCCTCTTTCTCTGTCCCAGTCCAAAGAGTCTTCCTCCGTGTTGAGCTGCGACATCTCCAGGAATAATAAATACATTGTGACAGGCTCAGGGGACAAGAAGGCCACTGTGTACGAGGTGGTGTACTGAGCCCCGTGTGTCTACACCTCCAGGTCACCTGCCCAAGGATGGCCACGCAGACAGCTCCCTCCCTCCTGGCTGGGTGGGGCTGGAGGCACTGGGGAAATATAACTATTTATCAACTCGCTTTCCTTTTGTGTGTGTTTCAAGCGTGCGAGGCCAGGGCCAGTTGGGTGTCAGCCCCTATTGTTTTTTTTGTACCCTGGATTTCAAACGATCTTGACCTCACTGACATGCAGGCAGGCCATCCGGCCCAGGATTCTCCTGTCTCCACATGTAAAACTGGGATCACAGGTGTGCCATCACACTTTTTCCTTTTAAAAAATACATGCGATCTAGGGTTTTGAACTCAGGTCTTCAGACTTGACTGGCAAGCACTTTACCCACTAAGTGATCTTCCCAGCAGGATCTGGCCTCTCTATAGCCCTGGTTTTCTTGGAACTCACTCTGTAGACCAGGCTGGCCTTGAACTCAGAGATACAGAGATCCTCCTGTCTCTCTAGAAGCAAAGGCAGGCAGATCTCTGTGAGTTCGAAGCCAGCCTGGTCTACAGAGTGAGTTCCAGGACAGGCTCCAAAGCTACAAAGAAACCGTCTCGAAAAACCAAAAAAAAAAAAAAAAAAAAAAAAAGGATGTCTCTTCTGAGGACAATAGACCACTCTGCCTTCTCAATTGCTTTACTTTGTGTGATGAGGGAGGGTCGGGCACACCCTTGGGACTCTCACCCACCACTGGGCAGCTGGGAGAGAGTAAAGAGTCAGCAGTCGAAGCCTTCAGTACTTGATCTGGTACACGGAGGCCCAGTACCCAGAACCCGTGACAATCAGCTTGCCATTGGCTGCCACGTCGCAGCATGTGACAGCGGCAGCCTCAGGGGCCTGTGGGACAGCAGGGAATGAGCCCTGGGACGCAGCTGAGCCCAGCCCCCTCCCCAGGGCCCTACCCTGCACAGGGGTACCTGGAAGAGTTTCTTTCCTGAGGGCATGCTGTGGATGGTGACCAGGGCGTCCATCCCCACGCTCACCCACCACTGGCCTGGGAGGAGGTGGAGAGACAGCCAGGTTACCCACTCACCCTCTCATCTGGCAGCCAAGTGCCTGTTCCCCAGCATTCAGGAGACTGAGGCAGGAGGATTCAAGAGTCTGAGATGAGGATGAGCCTGGGCTACTTAAGACTCTGCCTCAAAAGAACAAAATGTCAGGAAAAAAAAAGTTTTCTTGTTCTGCCTTTTGTTGTGTTTGCTTTTGATGTTTTTAACAAGAGTCTTTCATAGCCAGGGCTAGCCTCAAACTCCCCAAGTAGCCAAAGATGACCCTGAACAGCATTCCTGAGGGTGGTTTATGTCAGTAGAAGGTGTTGGGGGCAGGAGGTGGTGGGTGAATGACTCTAATCCCAGTTCTTGGAAGGCAGAGGCTGGCAGAGCTCTGTGAGTTCTAGGCTAGCCTGGCCTGCTACACAGAGAGATCCTGTCAGTGTGATGGGTGTCAAAGCGCTGATCGGGGCATTGAGCAAACAGTGGAAGCTTTGGGAAAGTCAGTGCTGCAGTGTGTGCTTGTCCTCGGACCCCTTACCATTTGGGGAGTACTTGAGGCCTAAGATGGTCTTGTCCTTGGTGCCCACAGGGAGCACCTCGCTCCTCCTCTTGCTGTCATACAGGCAGTGCTGGCCGTTGGCCAGGCCCAGCAGCAGCCAGTCCTCCCGTGGGCTGTGTGACAGGCTCATGATCTGGGGTGAACAGGGCAAAGTCGCGAGGTCAGAATCCCCCCCCCAACACCCTCCCCCCCGGACTTGCCACCCTGGCTGCTTCCTGTCGTAGTTCCTGGGCCTCCCTTTGCTAATCTGAAGTGGGAAAGGGCCATGAACTTTACAGGGCTAAAATAGGAGAGCAAAGAATCTGTTTCTCTCCCTTGTTGGTTTTATTGAGACAAGGTCTCCCTCTGTAGCCTAGGCTAGCCTTCACACCCCTCCCCACACGTACCTGAGGATGACCTTGAACTTCTGATCTTCCTGCCTCCATCTCCCCAGTGCTGGGGTGTCGGGTATAGTGTGGCACAGTGCTGGAGATAGGACCCAGCACCCTAAGAAAGCACTGTACCCACTGAGCCTGACCTACCCCTTCCTGAGATAAGGTATGTAGCCCAGGATAGATTAATACTTTTCACCCTCTTGCCTGGAGCACGGGGATAAAAGTCTGGGCCACCATGCCCATTATGACAATTTTTTTTTTTTTGAGACAGGGTTTCTCTGTGTAGCCCTGGCTGTCTTGGAATTCACTCTGTAGACCAGGCTGACCCTGAATGCAGAGATCCACCTGCCTCTGCCTCTGCCTCTGCCTCCTGAGTGCTGGGACTAAAGGCATGCGCCACCACTGCCTGGCTGACCCCTATGTCTTGCCAGAATCATGAGCTGATCTGGAATGTCCGCCTCCCCATGCTAAGTCCACCTTGTCCTCTACCTCCAGGGCCCATGCCCGTCCAGCCCCAGCGGGGTCTGTGCACCTGGGACTGGAATGTGTACTCCAGCGACACCTTGACCATCCGCAGGTCCCAGCATCGTAGACAGGCATCCAGACCTCCCATCCAGACATTGTCATCTTTGACCACCAGGCTCTTGGCCGCACTGACAGGGCATTCGAGGTCCCTAGCCAGAGAGACAGCAAAGGGAGTGAGCCTAGCCTTGGGGTCCATGTTCCTGAGATCCCACAGGTCAGGCAGGCAGCCTTCTACCGTTGGCAAGAAGGGGACAATGACGTCATCCCAAAGTCCCTGCACCTAATGGGTAACTATGTTCCAAACCAACAGGAGTGTGCTGGCCCTCATCTATAATTCCATCACTGAGGAGGCTGAGGCAGGAGAACTGTCATGAATTCTAGACCAGCCTGGGTATATAGTGAACTGGCCTCAGAAAGGAGTGGGGAGACCAAAGCCGGCCACAGTGACTCAAAACTGTCATCCCAGCTACTCAGGAGGCTAAGGTAGGAGGGTGAGCTCAGTATTAGCCTTGCAAGCTTCACATGGTCTAACCTCATGAACTGTACAGGGCTTGGCAAGGCACCTATCATCCGGGTCTACACAGAGACCTTGTACCAGATAAATGAGTAAAGGTAAAAGTGTTGCCAAATGGCTCCCAAGTGGTCAGTGGGAAAAGGTGACCTGAGGTCCATTTCCAGGAACGCACTCGATGGAAGGAGAAGGATCCTATGGGTTGTTATGAGCCCCTGCTAGGCCCCATCCACACGTAATACAATGAATAAGCTAGGTGCGCGCGCGCGCGCACACACACACACACACACACACACACACACACACAGCACTTGGGAGGTGGAGGCAGAAAGATCAGGAGTTCAAGGCTATCCTCTGAGGCCAACCTGGGCTACCTGCAAGTTATCCTAAACAAAAGGTAAAATTCCCTAGTGAGAGGGCTGGAGGCGTGGTCAGGGTGTGAGTCCCGCCTAGAATTCCCCAGTGAGGGTCTGGGGTCGTGGTCAGGGTGGAGCCCCGCCTAGAATTCCCCAGTGAGGGTCTGGGGGCGTGGTCAGGGTGGAGCCCCGCCTAGAATTCCCCAGTGAGGGTCTGGGGGCGTGGTCAGGGTGGAGCCCCGCCTAGAATTCCCCAGTGAGGGTCTGGGGGCGTGGCTCCACGCTGGTGGAGGAGTGTTGGGCCAGGAAGAGGCTCAGGGTACATAGTCATTGCTGTTCCCGTCCCTGTGTCCGCACCTGACTACTCCCTGACTCCTTAGGTCCCACATCCTGACCCTGCCATCTGTGAAGCCAGCGAAGGTAATATTCTCCTCTGTGCTGGCTAGCACCTGACAGGACAGGCCTTTGCAGGGCAGCTGACACTTCTCGTACAGGAACGGGGCTGCCAGGTCCCACACGCTCACGCATGGCAGGTTGTGTCCGCCGGCGAACAGGGTCCTACTGTTAGAGGACAGCAGGCAGGTACGCAGGTACGCCCCATTGGTCTGCAGAGGACGGACCCCATGAGTGAGGGTCCATCCTCGCTGGTGGCTTCCAGACCCCGCCCCAGGCACCTTCCCTGCCTGGCACACCTGGATGCCACACTGCAAGTGGCTCTCGGGAAATCGGTCCTCTGCCACCTGGTTCGTTAGACTCCACACCTTGATGCCACTCCGGCTACAGGTGAAGACGTGCCTTGTGAAGCAGCTCACGGCCATCGCCAACAGGAGTTCACCGTGTCTCAACACCCGCACCTTCTGCAGGGCCTGGGGGACAGCGAACCTCTTCGGTTGCCAGAGTGATGCACCTGGTCTCTCCCAGCTGGGCGCTAAGTTCTCAGAGTCCCAGGACCTGGGGACAGGAGGAGGGGAGACGGGGAGGGGACGGGAATGGGTGGGAGTATACAGGGGATAAGATTTTCAAGACAGGTTCTTGCTAAGTCCAGGCTGGCCTTGAACTCCTGATCCTTCTGCCTGGCACTCAAGAGTGCAGGGAGACACAGAGTTTTCAATTCTTGACATAGCCACATCTGCTTCCCCATTCTATCTAAAATATTTTGCCTAATTAGACTAAACTTTCATGCACCCTCTTATGGCCCTAATTATTATTTTCCCTTTTCCAAGTAGTTTTCTCTGACTACAGGATTGAGAGAATCTGTGTTGAGATTTAAGTGAGAGATTCATTCGCCAACGCTTTAAAAATTATTGTTTTACTTATTAATTTGTGTGTGTGTGTGGTCAGGATAACTTGTGGGAGTCAGTTTTCACTTCTAGTCATGTGGGTCCAGGGATCAAACTCAGTTCCAGACTTGTCAGCAAGCCCCTTTACCTGATGAGCCCTCTCGCTGGACCCCCCCCCCACCAGTAAAGGACAGGGGTGCGGGAACAGAGGAGCAGGGATGGGGAATGGAGGGGCAGGGTGAAGGTAATCTTGCTCTCCCCCTACTCACAGGGGCTTCCGAAATGGATCAGCACTTCCGGAAGGTTCCTGTGGTGCAAAGAAAGAAGCTGACCCAGCTGGCTGGTGACTTACCCGCCATGTCTGCATCGGGGTCTCCTGCTCACCTGGGTCTCACATTGGAGCTGGCTGATGTCTTTTTGGGAAATACCAAGCAGATCCAAGGAAGTCTCACTCAGGATAGGGGCTGTGTGAGACAGCAGAATTTAGGGGGACCCAGCAACCTCTGCCCCTCCACGCCCCAGGCCCCGCCTTCCTACAGAAGTCACTCAGGCTGCCTCTGGGCTTGGGCTCAGACTCCGGTTCTTGTTCTGAGTCTCGCAGGCAGGAGTCTTTGTTTTCCTGGGAGACAGAATTGGGTCAGCTAGGGGACACGTGACCCAGGGGAACCCAGCAGATGCCTGGGGGTCCAGGGCTGCACCCAGCAGAGTGCAGGGATGAAGTGGGAGGGGCACTGTAGGGCAGATGTGTGTTGGGGGTCCCAGCCAAGGGTACTCACCAGTCCCAGCAGCTCCTCTGTCGGTCGCCATGACAACAGGTGAGGAGGAAGAGATGGAGAGCAATGAGGTTTGCCTGGACACCCAAGACACCCCCCCCCCCCCGCCCCCTAGTGAGGGGCCCTCACCCTCCTGTGCCTGTTGGTTCTCTGGGTTTTCCCTGAAAAGTTTCCAGAGTTCCTGGGTCAGGGTATCGCTCCAGAACTTGGGTTCCTTGTCCCACACAGGCTGTGGGTCCTGCTGCTCCTCAGTCTCTGAGAGGCACTGATGTCGGGTGAACAGCTGAGGTCCCGGGGTGGCCTTGAGTTCCTCAGGGTCCTGGGGGGCCGTGGTCTCTGGGCCCTGCTTGGCTTCTTTCTCAGTCGAAATCTGTACAGCCTGGAAGGACCCATGGGACCTCGTGAGTCACAAGACAACACCGCCAACCAGTATCTGTCCCCTCCAGCTCAAGGGCACACATTCACCTTGATCATCTCCAGGATGCGGGGGGACTTGAAGATCCCCACCAGCTCGAAGAAGTTTTCCACCTAGAGTAAGTTAGGGTTGAACCTTACTCCAGGCACTAATGTGGGGAAGGAGTGTGGCAGTGCTTGGCACTTGGCAACCTCTCTGTACACAGAGGCAAGCTCTGCACTTGGGGATAAACCACCTTACACAAACCCAAGCATAGTGTCCATCTGTCTACCTCCCAAGGTTGAGGCAGGAGGATCAGGAGTTCAGGATCATCCTCAGCTACATACTGAGTTTGAAATCCTGTCCCAAAACAAAAAACTTCAACTAAAAGAACAGTTACAACCACAAATAGGGCTTGGGATGCAGCAGTTGAGGTACAAAGCCTCCCCCGCCTCCCCAGCATGGATCAAAGGCCTTAGTGCTATTTTGCACATGGGGAAACTGAGGTCCAGCAGCCAGGGGCTATTTTTTCAGTAGTCTTGCTCCTTCCTCTGAGAGTTTTTGAGGAGCCCCCCTCCCCCCATGGAGGGGGAGCCCCCTGGATGGAGGCTGCAGACCCAGGGAGCTGCCTCCCTGGGAGGAGATGATGGATTCCAGGGCAGAGCCAGCCTGGGGGCTGCACAAAACCCAGGGGAGCCCTCCCGATCCAACACCCCCCCACCCCCGGCTCATTAACGTGCAATTTACTGGCACTTTAGTGTGCCTGGTGCTCAGAGTAAATGGAGGGAGAGCTGTCGCTCCCCGCTGCTGCTCCTGGGGGAGGGGGGCTTGTGTTCCCGGGTGTGAGGCTGGGGGGCAGGGCGGTTAAAAGCAAGGGAACTGGGAAATCCAGGAGCTGCAGGGAGCTGCCCGGGATATCACAAGATACAGGCAGTGCCTGGCCCTAGGTACCTGTCAATCATTCCCTCAATGACTACAGCCCAGCCCCCCACTAGCCCTTCATTCTTGCACCTGATGCTAGATCAGTCCCCTTGCTCTACCAACCACTGCCTTCCAGGGCTCCTACGGTTCAATGGGCGGGGTCAAGGCCCGGAACTCCCTGCAGCCCCCATAAGCCCTGCCCTGTCACTCTTGCCTCCCTCCTTCCAGCTTCCCCTTGCCCCCACGGCGGGGGCGGGGAGGGGGAGGACAACGGGACTCCTGCCTCTGGCCTTTGCAGAGGGCCATCCCTCCTCCTGCCTGGACAATGTCCCTCTCCCAGTGCACCTTCCTAAGCACCCTGAGCTGTAGACTCTGCCCAGAGCTTTTGGCACCCATCCACCAACCCCTTTCAGTCTCCGGTCCTTGCTCTCTCCCTGGCACCTCTGCTGGCTGGCAAATGGTGACTGCTGAGGCTGCTGAGCGCCTTGAATGAACAACCATGTTCTGGTGGCTTCCTGGGGGGCCCCCACCCCCGCCACTGCCCTATCCCCACCCCCACTGAGCTGTAGTCCTGGCCCTGGCTGCCCACCAGTGACATCTGGCCCTGGGCAGTGCTTCCTTCCTGTCAGTGCCCTTGAGAAAGAGGCCAGGTGGCAGGAGGCGAGGCGGATGAGGACGCACGTGCCTTGACTGGGGGAGGCGGGGAGGAGCTGGGAGCCCCTCCGAAGGCCTGTCTCCAGCTCATGCATGGGACCCGTGTGCAGCCCTTACCCAGGAATTCCAGGGCACCTAGGACCCGGGCAGGAAGATGAGCCACTGTGAGGCATAAGCACTCTGAATCAACTCCCTCCTGTCTCCAACCCTGGGTGGCTCCACCTCCCTGGAGTCAAAGACCCTGGAATCCTATCTCCACCCCGCCACCCCTGCTCTGGTCCCCAGCTCCAGTTCACCTGCTTGTGATGCTCCTCGAAGGACTGATTGATTTTGGATATCTGAAATCACAGCAGATGAGGAGTAGGTCTGTGACCCCCCCGAGCAAACCCTTCACCTCTATGATCCCGTTCCTTTACTTTTGAGACAACAGAGGCCCATGGAGCCCCAGCCTGGCCTTGAACTCACTACAGCAGAGGCAAACAATCCTCCCGCCTGCCTCCACACTTCCCTGGGCTGGGATGACTGGTCTGTGCTGTTTAGCTCTGCTTTTAAATAAAATATTACTTACTACATCCTTTTCAATGGGAAATCAAGTTGAACTCTTTCTTGCAGCCTCCCAGGCCCTGCCTGCTCCTCTGCCAACCTCCCCTCTCTCTAGTGCACACACAGGCCTCCTCCCTGCTCCCCCCCACCCCCCGGCACAGCTACTGCCACTGGGGTGGCTTACCAAGATGGAGATGTTGTCTAGCTGAACCATCATCTCGGAGAGGACACTGATGGTGGGGAAAGCAGTTGAGCATCCTTCTAGAAATAGACCCTGAACCCGCCCTAGGGCAGAACCTCAGGAGGACCACAGGAAGGTGCCACCAAAACCCTTATATCTGATGCAGGAACTTTGCACATTAAAAGCACACATTCTGCCATTGCTTATTTGGGGACAGGATTTGGTGGTTGGGTGACCCAGGCAGGCCTGGAACTCACCATCCTCCTGCACTGCTACAAAATCAACACCCCAGCTTAAAAACAAACCCGAAGGAACACTTCACTAGAAATCAGCCTTCGCTTCTAGCAGCCCCCACCCCAAGGATGTGCCCCCACCCAGGGAAACCCTCACCTCTCCAGTTCCTCCGGCATCTGTTTGATGATGGAGGAGTACCTTTCGGACAAGCTGGAAGGCTGGAAAGGTCAAAGGCCAGAACCATAAAGTCTGCAGCACTCCCAGCTCCCAGACAGCCCCTGAGATGCCAGTCAGGTCCAGCTTCTTGAAGCCCTGAACTCTTGGGGTACAGGACCAGCCATAAAGGGGAAATGGTAGATAGAGCCTTCTAGATCTAGACCCTGGCTCTCAGGGACCCTTTAAGATGGCAGTTCCTCACTCTGCGGTAGCCCCCCAACCATAGAATTTTTCCCTTGCTACTTTATAACTAATTTTGCTACTGTTATGAATCATAACATAAACAGCTGATACGCAAGATATTCCATATGATCCCAATGGGGTCACGACCCACATGCTGAGAACCTCTACCCTGGCGTCAACTCAGGGCAGACCCGTGCCTAACTCTGCCTTGACCATTAGAGGAGGGGTGGAGAGAGGGAATAGGGAATATCAGACAGGGTCTCACTATATAATCCTGACTGGGTTGGCCTCCAACCCAGAGATCCACCTGCCTCTGCCTCTGCCTCCTGACTGCTGGGATTAAAGACCTGCACCAACTTTAATCACAGAATAGTGTTAACTGAACACAGGACCAGCATGCTAGGCAGGATTGCACCCTGACCACGCTCCCAGCCCCTCACTAAGGGGATTCTAGGTGGGGCTCCACCCCGACCACGCCCCCAGCCCCTCACTGGAGGATTCTAGGCGGGGCTCCACTCCGACCACGCCCCCAGCCCCTCACTAGGGGATTCTAGGCAGGGCTCCACCCTGACCACGCCCCCAGCCTCTCACTGGGGGATTCTAGGCGGGGCTCCACCCTGACCACGCCTCCAGCCTCTCACTGGGGGATTCTAGGCGGGGCTCCACCCTGACCACGCCCCCAGCCCCTCACTGGGGATTCGAGGCGGGGCTCCACCCTGACCGGGGCTCCACCCTGACCAGGGCCCCAGTAGGCAGGCCCACACCCTGCTTTCTGGACCAGGTGAAGTCCAGGTGATTGACACTGGGAAAACTGGCCCGGGCTTCATCGCTCATTTTCATCTGCGCAGCGGGGTCACAGGTGCAGACACTGTGCGGGGCTGTTTTCCTAGCTAGGTCTGCAAGAGTTGCTGCGGGTTCCAGGTCAGGCTGGCACCGTGAGACTCGGTCTCCAAAACCCCCAAGTAACCCCGTCGCCCCTTACCACCTCTCACCAAAATTCCACCAGCGGTGCCTTTGTTCTGGCTGTAGGAAGTCATCTAGAAGATTGTGAAGTCACAAGTCTGGTGAGTTCTGCAGGGGGCAGGTTCCGGTTTAGACGGAAGAGCTGACCCCCCATCCATCTCTGTAGCCTCCCCAGGGTCAGGACCCAGTTGCGGAGAAAGCCTCCTCTCTCATCCCCATGCTCTCTGCATCCCCAAAGCCCCGTCTTTACTGCAGGGGCTACGGTTCCAGAACCACCGCCCCCAGGTAAGCATGGGGGGCTCATCCCTTCAGATACCGAGGAAAGCGTACCGGGAGCAGTCACGGATGTGGTGAGTCGCCTAGGGTTTTGAGGGACGAGTAAGAGTTTGCCAGGCGTACTAATAAAGCATGCACGTGGGGTATACACACACATATATATACACAAACACTCAGGCACACACGGAAAACATTTTTTAAAAAGAACTTAGGAGACAAGAGAAACGACATTTGGTTCATTCTCCCATCACTCAACATGGGCAAACTCCCTGCTAAAGTCAGTTTTGTAAGGGTCAACGCCCCTCCAGCTCCCTCTCCTCCCCCACCCGCGCAAACTGCCTGCAGGAAGCGGGCTGACCCCACGCACCACCTCAGAGGACGGGGAGGCCCCAGGGACCTCAGAGGAAGCCACAGAGGTTAGCCAAGTTCAGGCCAGGAGGAAGCCCCTCCTGCTGGGCCCCGGGCCATTTGACCCCTCAGACCCCGCCCAGCTCGGCCCCGCCCCAAGCCACGCTCCCACCTGCACCCATTGAGAGAAGCATCAGGGCCCAGGCCACGGGTGCACGTGGGCTCGGGGCTGCACGAGCCGCCTCAGCAGGTGCTGACCAATCAGGAGGCCGGAAGCCCACGTGGCCCGCGATCCCAGCTGCTCATTGTTCAGCCTGTGGCCCGGCTGTCAATCACGGAGTTCCAAGCCTCGGCTTAACCCCCGCATTCCCGGTGCCGTTTGGGAGCTTGGGAGAGGATTTCAGAGTGGTTAATTCAGAATATTTGGGGCAAGCGAGGGGTCAGCAGTTGGCGATGACTGCAGCCAAGAACTTTGATCTGAGTTCGATCCGTTGGACCCACATGTTGAAAGACACACACATACACACATACACACACACACACACACACACACACACACACGAGAATAAATTTTTTAATCTGGTGAGCTAGAGAGATAATTCACCAGTTCTTGCACAGGACCCGGATGCTCTTGCACAGGACCCTGGCTCGATCCGTGCACCCAGGCGGTGGCCTCACAGTGGTCTGTAACTCCAGCTCCAGAGGCTCTGACACAAGGTGCGCACACATACTTGCAGACAAGACATGTACATAAAATAAGATGCAGATGAATTAATTCAAAGCCTGGCGCTGGTGGTGCACGCCTCTCATCCTTGCACTGAAGGCAGAGGCAGACGGATCTCTTGTGAGTTTGAGGTCAACCTGGTCTACAGAGCAAATTCCAGAACAGCCAGAGTTACACAGAGAGACCCTGTCTCGAAAAACCAACCAATCAAACAAAAATCTCCAATAAAAAAAAAAAAGTTAAAAAAAAGAGGACCCACTTTTGGAATCCTGGGGTGTGCTGATGGAGTGGGAAATCGTAGCTTGAGAATTCCCAAATTTCCCGTGAGAAACGAGGCTTTGGGTGTCCTGTGAAGTGTTACTGACCTGCCTGTGTGACTCAGGCTAGCTCTTGCTCCTTTGCAAACTGAAGCCCGAGGATCAGCACTCAACTTAGTAGCAAAGGTTAAGAAATAAAAAAAGGGACACAGCCAGGCTGGCATGCATGCGCCCAAGACCCTATCCTCAGCATCTCCTGAACTGGAAGGTGGAGGCAGGAAGGTTAAGAGTTCAAGGCCATCCTGGGACGAAGCGAGTTCCAGGCTAACCTGGACTACAAGAAAAAGACAGAAAAGGCTGAGGGCACAAAGCTACATTCCTAGACTTCCAAATTCAAGGGTGGAAAGGGTGGGGGCAACCCCTGGACCTCAGAGCCAGATTCTGGCCCTCCACAGGGGACCCTGGAGTGAAGTGGATTCTGGAGCCCCTTCCCCCACCTCCATGTCTCTCCAGTCACAGGTGAAGGGTGTGAAATTAAACCATGACCTCTGTGTACATGGAGGCAGGGAGGTGACCATGAGTTTGGAGTCAGCCTGAGCTCCCTAGTAAGAGCAGGTCTTACTAGGGAGTGGGGTGTAAGAGGGCTCAGTGGGTGAAGGGACTGCTGCCAAGCCTCATGGCTTGGGTTCATTCCCTGTGCCCCACACAGCAGAAGGCGAGGATGCCCTCTACCCGCCACACACACACACACACACACACACACACACACACAAGTAACTGTAACTCAATTAGACCCGGGTCACAGTAACTTTCCCTTCATTAAAAAATTAACTTACAGAGAAACCCTGTCTCAAAAATACAAAAACAAGGGGCTGGAGAGATGGCTCAGAGGCTAAGAGTACTGACTGCTCTTCCAGAGGTCCTTAGTTCAATTCCCAGCAACCACTTGGTTGCTTTAATGCCCTCTTCTGGCCTGCAGGGTACATGCAGGCAGAACACTGTACACATAATAAATAATAAAGAAAACATTTTAATTAATGTGTATAAATGTTTGCTTGTATGCATGTGTGTTACATGTGTGACTGGTACTCTCAGAATCCAGAAGAGGGTGTCTGATCCCCTGTAACTGGAGCCACCATGTAGGTGCTAGGACTCAAACCCAGGTCCTCTGAAAAAGCAGCTAGTGCTAGTAACCGCTGAGCCCGCTCTCCTGCCCTTGACCAGGGCTTTTGCACATGCTCGGTCAGTCCTCAAGCCCTCAGTATCTGTTTTAGCCATGACTTCACTGCAAGGCCCTGGCAGGCCCATAGATCTCCTGCTCCTGAGCCCGGGGCTGGGCTGCTTGCTGAAGCCGGCCCGTGGGCTGTGGGGTGGAGGGGTGTGTCTCCCACCGTGTGGCGCTCTTGCGTCACCACTACAGCTGCAATTGCAGTCATGGTGCCAACATTTCCTTTGTTGGGGGAGGTGGCACTCTTGGGAGGCCAAGCCCAGAGGATCTCTGTGAGTTTGAGGCCAGCCTGCCTACAGAGTACGATTGTGTCTCAAAACACCAATACTAGTACTACTAATAATAACAAATAATAAATAAATAATAACGATAAGAATAAATAGTAAACTCCGGCTCCCAGGGGGCAGCGACAGGCAGATCTCCGAGTTCGAAGTCTCCAGGACACCCTGGGTTACACACAGATGAACCCTGTCTCAGAAAACCAAATAAATAAACAGACAAGTAAACAAATAATTTCAGAATTTTCTCCTAAGACAGGGGTTCTCTGTGTGTAGCCCTGGCTGTCCTGGAACTTGCTTTGTAGACCAGGTTGACTTCAGACTCACAGAAATCTGCCTGCCTCTGTCTCCTGTGTGCTGGGATTAAAGACGTGCGGACCACTACCCAGCATTAATAACAAATTCATTTCGTTTTTTTTTTTTTTTTCAGTCCTAGAGAGCCAGGGCATTGTATATGCTATTCATTGTGTTTAATTATTATTATTTTTTAAAATATTTTTTATAGTATTCATTGTGTTTAATTATTATTATTTTTTAAAATATTTTTAATAGTTTATTTAACTTTTATTTTTTATGTGCATTGGTGTGAAGGTGTCAGATCCCCCGGAACTGGATTTTCAGACAGTTGTGAACTGCCATGTGGGTGCTGGGAATTGAACCCGGTTCCACTGGAAGAGCAGTCAGTGCTCTTAACCTCTGAGCCATCTCTCCAGCCCCACATTTAATTCTTTTATTTACTTTATGTTATAACCTTACTTTTAAATATCGAAGTGAGGAGTTTTAATTGTGTGTATGTTTGGAGGACTGTGTGTATGGGAGTGCAGTTGTCTGCAGTTGCCAGAAAAGGGCATGCAGCTGGAGTCGTGGGCATGACAACGCTGATGCCTGTGTGCTGGGAAGGAAAGTAAGTGCACCTAAGTGCTGATTCATCTCTCCAGAACATTCTCCCCCCCCCCCCCCAGGACCATTCTTAACTTACTGTTACACTTTTTAAAAAAAATATTTATTGTGTTGTCTGTCTCTTTTCATTTCATTTATTGAGTTACTTAATTTTTAAAGTCATTGTATCATTTTATTATTTTATTGTATTTATTTTCTTACAATTTTTATTTATTCCGGCTTTCAAGACAGGGTTTCTCTGTATAGCCCTGGCTATGCTAGAACTCACTGTGTAGATCAGGCTGGCCTTGAACTCAGAGATCCCTCTGCCTCCTAAGTGCTGGGGTTAAAGGCGTGCGCCACCACCGCCCCGCTAAAATTTATTCTTCTGAGAAGGTAGGAGGACTTTGTGATCCTCCTGCATCAGCTTCTGGGAATTACTGTAGCTGGGTTCTCAAAGGACAGAAAATTGAAAAGCAAGGCGCGGAGTCAGACAGGTGGGCAGGGCGGAGGTGAAGGAAAACAAGGCAAGGCGGGCTTGTCAACCGCGGTGATCCAGAGTCTGAGGCTCTGCTTCATTCACTCCTGCTCTCGGCTGTCGTCTGGGGAGTGAACGGTTGGCTGAATATTCCTTAGAGACACACAAGCACTTTAGGGTGTCTTGCGTTGAGTGACCCCGGTTGTCACCGTAGACCTCAGTCAGGGTACAGAGGTCGCGGTTGTTCCTTTGGGAAGCTTTGCAGGGATGCGTGCGGCGCGCGCAGGCGAGCTCGGTCGCCATCTGCTGTCAGTAGCCGGACACCGCAGGCTTCCAGAGCCGAGAGAGGGGCTGGGGTGGGTGAGGAGTGGGGCGGGCTGGGGGTGGGTAGGTGTGAGAGTGGGCTGGGGTGGGTAGGTGTGGGAGTGGGCTGGGGGTGGGTAGGTGTGCGAGTGGGCTAGGGTGGGTAGGTGTGGGCTGGGGTTGGTAGGTGTGGGAGGGGGCTGGGGGTGGGGAGGGGGGGGGGGGGGGGGGGGGGGCTGGGGGAGTGGATCGGGATGGGGCTCTGATTGTAGGGCTTGCAGAGACCTCACCAGTCTTTCAGGTACTAGAAGCCGAGAGGTAGGGGAATTTCCCTGTGAGTCTGAGGCCAACCTGGGCTACAGAGTGAGACTCTGTCTCAAACAAAGACTAAAATTAAAATGAAGAAACAAAGTGAAGCCGGGCGGTGGTGGCACACGCCTCTAATCCCAGCACTTGGGAAGCAAAGGCAGGGGAATCTCAGTGGGGGAAAAAAAACCAATC